TGGTATTACTAGTAAGTCAATGGTGTCCAGGGGGACAACAAAAGAAGTTCAGTATTCAATTTAAGATTTAAGCAATACTTAGAATTGAAAAGGGTTATGGCTTGACTAAGAAATCCATACCACTATGGGAACCCAATATTTGATTTTAGAAGTTACGTAGTTATTTAGGCTTGAAATGCTTTGGGTAATGAGTGAGTATGTGTATGCAAGGAGGAATACCAAACAACACTCATTGTTTGCTTTTAACTGGAAATTTGGTTATCTTCTTGATTTTGCCATAGAAATCAAGTGCTCTTAATTTACTGTGTTTCTTTCCTTAACTAAAACTAAGTATTCTTCTAGGTAAAACTGATTTTTACATGCTGACGTTTTGTATTTCATGGTTTYACCAGCATCGTCTTTCTCTAACAGATAGACGAATACTTAAATTATCTGACCATGCAGACACTTGATTATTTGAATTTTTGAATCAGATTATTTGAGTTTTGTTGCTAAGCCATAAACTGAAGGAAAGAAGAAGCAGTAATGGTGGGTGACTTCACTCTGTCTGTAGGCACATAGAGTCTTTGTTACCGAATTTCCCAAACAATTTCAATAGTGTGGAAGTTTTGYGCAAACTTTCTGCATGAATGTTGTMACCTCTTCCTCATTTTGGTCCCCATTTCTAGTGTTGTACCTTCTCTGTTTGCCATTTGATAAGTAGAATTGAAGACATCATTATTTAGACAGGCATTCCTTTGATTTTATTGTTTGTGACCAATTTCAGATCCAGTTATAGATCCAGTAAGAGGTGATGCGTTTTTACAGAATTGCACCTGGTTCTTGTACTGAAAAGTTGCCAGGGTGAAGTTGTAGTCCTACAAAAGTCAACATGGATAGAAATACAGGACACAGTTGTGGGTTATGCTAAAACTCTCCCTGCTGGCAATTTAAAATCTGAATGAAATTATAATTAACTGCAGTTCACTGAAACATTACCTGTGTAAAATGAATTTTCTGTTTAATCAAAAACTTAACTTCTGATAATATAGTCCTAGATCACAGTTTTTCTCTTATTTTATCAGACCTGTTTATTCTTGACATGAAGGGAGTTATATTTCTTTTGCTTCCTTCTCARTAAGTGAAATGTACCTAGACAATAATTCATGTTGCAGTTTACTCAATAAACAGAGGGCATTTTGAGAAGCACTGCCTTTTAAGAATTGCATCTGATCCAATAAACCAAATTATATAATAATAAAGTATGTCATCAATGTAAACAAATACCAGATGGGTTGTAAAACATTCAATTTTAGATCAGTGCAAACAGACTGAAATAAACACTTCTGTGGTGTATTGTCAGTCACTAGCAAAGCTCAGAAAGGGATTCCCACTGTGTGCCCATRTTCTGGAGATTCCACCTTCATGTTTGTTTTTCTCTTGTTTTAGTTATGCTCTCTTTAGCCCTTCTTGCTCGCTGTTACTTCACTTTCAGACCCAATGTACTGGCTTGGCTGCTTTTCTAAGCATGACAACACAAGCCAGCACAGTTTTGCTAATGAAAATCAGAAGGTGTTCCCAGGGAAGGTGTGTGAGACTCCTGAGGTTTGGGCACTGCAGAGGTTGGGACATTGCTTTCTGTACTTTGGGGTGTGGGAGAGGGCTTATCTCTCATGTTACTTTCCCACTCTGAAGGGATTGGATGTTGTTCCTGTACCTGGATGTACATAGTGATATTTGGATTTTTTTGCTCTTCAGATATGAATGCTTTCACTACATTCAGTTGTGGTCAGTTCGAGATAAAGTTCAAAGTGAGCTTCTGTTATTGATTGAATTGCAAGGCTTGGGTCTTTTCCCGCACAGTTAAAATCAGGAGGCTGTTGTTCTGTATTTAAGATATTGCCTAGCACTTCTATAATGAAGTTTTCTAATTGTGTATTCATAGACATTTTATCTTGTCGTTAGATACATGGTCTAGTGTTGGACTTGGCAATGTGAGGTTTGTGGYTGGACTCGATGATCTAACAACTATATGATTTGCTAACCCTAAACAACTCTATGATTTGCTTATGTGTTGGTATTGTACACTAAGTCAAATTTATAATAATATTTGAATTTAAATTAGCATATCTCATTTAGCATTATATCAGAAGGGGTAGTTAAKTATTGTATTTGGAGGATATCCACATTTTAATGGGTTTACTTTGTTGTCTGTATATGCCACTGAAATGTCTGCTTTCTTTTTTCATGCCATAAATTTAAGATTTTTTAGTTCATGGAAAGAGCTGTAGACCTTTTAAATCCTGCTTAATGCTTGAGCCTAAGTGGCAGAATATATAAGGACAGATTTTTTGAAAGAACTTGACTTTCAGGTGTATCTGTATACTCCAGATGGAGTCTTGATAAAATCTTAAGAAGAGAGTCTGTTATTCCCAATAAATGTTCATGTGACACTCTTCAAAAGGCTTAAAATACTTCAAATTCAAAACTTCAAAAATACTTCAAAGTTTAAAAAAAATACTTCAGTAACACAATGCAGGCAGATTTTCAGCAGGTGATATACAAGTACCATGTCTGAATTATGAATCATGATGGCTCATTCTTTATTATATACCAACCATAAAATGCAGGTTGGATCATGGAAGCAGAAATACTTCATTTCCTTCAAAATGTAGARCTGGATTTTATTGGTAGAGAGGAAATGCAGTCAGGATTTTTATCTAAGAAAGGTTTGTTGTTTTCTTATGATTACTGAACTTTTATTTGCGGACCTGTCAGCCTGTTTGACATCACTAGGGATGCCAAATTTGAGTTGTCTTAGGAGTTGTATGTATCACAGGATGTGCCCATTTTAGCTGCCTGTTCAGGTAGAATTCACTTGTGTAAATACTGAAATGGGGTAGGGTGAATTTAAGTACTCTTTAGGTGTTCTATGTATTGAAAAGTATAGCTAATTTTTATAGATAAATTCCTGGCTGAAGTCTTTTATCTTCCTTGCTTTTCTTCTAAATTTATCAGAGAAGAGCTGCTTCAGATCTGGAGAATTCTCTGTTTTCTCTGTGAGGCTTCTGAGAGTCTGACATAACTTTTTTGTCAATACTTAATAAACACGGAGTTATTTTAGTACATATTTTAAAATTTTAAGTGTATTTACTAAAATGTTATCAAAAGCTTTGCAGATAGTATGGAGCCTAGKTACATTCTTCATATTTAATGCAGTAAAATGAAAACTTATCTACATACAGAGTACACACATATACCAGAGGCATGCAGATGAGCCTAATCTTGATTGCATTCAAAAGTTTCCTTTCCAGAAGCAAATGTCTTCTATCTGTGGGTATGAATTAGAACAGTGTTGCAGAAAACCAATACCTTATTTACAAAAAGTATATTTTCTTGATTTCTTCTTCTGGGAATTAATTTAAATGAGAAAAGCACCTGTCATCTTGTCTGACAGCTGATGACAGCATTAAGATCACTGAGTGACTAAGATGACAAGCTATCCCTACACATCAACACATCAGGCTTTTATTGCTGTCTTGGGTATACAAGAAACTTGTATTAAGTGGTCTTTAACAAGGACTCATCCTGTTTGTCAGTTCTGTGACATGATTTTTATGAAGGAAGGAGTAATGACCCCTGTCAACTGAAGATGAGGAGATTGCAGTAGGTATTGCCTGTCTGTGTTCCATGAAGCTTGTCTGTACAGATCCAAACAGYTCAAAGGGCATGTTTTTCATCACAGTTCCTGATGKGGATTTGGCAAGTTTATATAAAAAWTCATACATTGCTAGTCAGAAACTGATTGTTCAGATTTAGGAAAAATTTTCTTATGAAGAAACACAGCTTTTTTCTCTTCCTTTAGATAAGGTGAATTACTGTAGTTTTATCACTGTCATGTTTAACTACAGTAATTTTACAACTATTCTCTGTTGAATGGGGAAATTACTAAAAACACTGTGGAAGCGTCCCTTCAGTCTGAAACTTGCCCTTYGTGTATTCAAAAGTTTGGGGAAATTCATCACTTTATTTCAGTAAAAAAMCACAGTATTCTCTAATAGGCTTCAATATTTCCTTCAGAAAAGATCAATTATCTATTCTTCAGTGACTGGTAATGGAAATGGAAATGRAGAGTGTTGTGTTGTCTTTTTTAAACATTTCATCAGGAAGATCTTGGCAAAATATGCTTTCTCATAGTGCTCTGCACTGAGGGTTTTTTCCATGTCGGGTAAATTGCTCTATTACAGGTTCTGTATACAGCTAATTCTGAACTACAAATTCTTGTATGGCACATTCATGTGTTAAAGTTGAAGAATCTGAAAATTCCCTGTATTTTTCCAGGCTTTTCCAGAGGATTTATGGCCTCCTTAAATAAGCGATAAATACAAAAAGATTAGAATTCATTAAAACAGTATAACTAGATTCCAGCCCAAATCTAGATTTGTACTTTTCACTTACATTCTCAGATGAAGGACAGGCTGATGTTTAAAAAAAAMCCAAACAACCAGATAGCCTGAGTTTATCACTGGAAAAACAGCCACAGACATATTATTCTGTGTGATTTTTCTCGTGCCTCYGTGGAGAGACTTGGGCAGAAACTGTAAATGCAGTTTCTTGCTGCTCYTTATTTCATGTATGAATCTTGACCATATGCTCTGAGTGGGTTTGAAAACACTTAAATTTGATTTTTTATTTATGTTTGTTATTATGCAGTGATGCATAGCACTGAAAACATGTTATAAAGAAAACAGTGCAGTAGGGAATTAGTGGGAGAAATATTTCAAAACAGTATTTTTAATACATTGTCTAATCTATATGGTGACTAACATATTTGTTTGATTTTTAATCCATTCTCTTTGTTTACCCATATTTATCTCATCATTTCATGTTGCCAATATTTAGTCAATGTTACTATTTTGCACTTAAGGAAATTTTGATGGGATTTTGAATATTACATGTTTTTTTTTATTTTTCTGGTTTTATTATTATAAAGATTTATTTTTTTTATTTTTTTCCTCTAGAAAGGTCCTAAAGGAAATCTCTGTTGGAAACCTAAAGCCTAATGAAACAGTTGAAGCAAGTCTGGAAGCACAACTACTCTCCAAATTAGACCATCCAGCCATTGTCAAATTTTATGCAAGCTTTGTGGAGCAAGATAGTTTCTGCATTATCACTGAATATTGTGAGGTGAGACTGAAGAAATTTAACAGAATGTGTGTGTTAAAATAGSGTGTCCTAAGAAGCCATTTAATAAAATGTTTTAGTTTGAATTTTAGTCTTTATTTGTTGCTTGTGGCATCACCTTCTACTTGTAAGSTGTGTTCCTTTCAGATAAGGAATGTTACCTTCTCATGTGAGACTCATAGACGAACAAACCACAGAAGAGGWAATAGGTAATATTAAATACAAGTTCATTTGGTGTGTCATAGTAAGTGTTACAAGAAAGGCTTAAATGCGGACACATTGCCAAATCTGTGGAAGACCTCAGAAAGGTGGTACCACTTCTGTGCTACTGATAGATGAGAGAAGATAAGATTGGGGGTGTGGGGGCATGAAATAAAATGTGATATAAATGAGGAAGGGAAAACTCCCTTGGGATTTAGAGGTGATTACAAGAAGGTTAAGCCTACCACATGGATGATGAGTTTGACARCAACATTGGCTTTACAAAATGAAAAACAGTGTGAGTCAAAGACCAGAATGTAGTGGATACAACAAATATCGAAGCAGGATGCACTACAGTATAGTTACTATTTATTTTTTGACTCCAGCATTTGGTTTAAGAACATATTGCTGAAATCTGTCTTAGAGCTTTCGAATAAGAATTTAAACATATTTAAGCCAGTTTTCAGTAGTTTATATAAAACAAGTGCATACTTTGTATTAAATATAGATGTGCTCTTAAAAAAAATCTCTTATACATAAAATGATCTTTTAATGAAACTGAGAAGCAAACTCTTCAGCTGTGYTCTGCTAGACATGCTGAAATGCTTTGGAAGATAATGATCTTAGACTACTGAGTTACCTGTACACAAATCAAATTTGACTTAACTAATCACATTGCTTTAAGAATTTAGATTTCATGGGAATAATTAAACAAGTGTAATCCCTGAGAGTTATTTCTTCCTTAGAAGCTTTCTTTGATGTGTATTTTTTTCTGGGACTTTTCAWAATTAAATCTTAAATGTTTAATTCTGTGATACAATCTGAATATTTATTCACATATTATTGTAACACCCATGCAAAATCTTTTTGTGCCATTCCCTGAATGTTTGACAGCTGGGTTTGAGAGTACTGTCAACTCTTTGAGGAAATCCAGAGCTCAGAACTGAGGGATTATTTTAAGTGTTCAGCTATTCCCATGCATTCATAATTTTSTCTCTACAAGTACAAAGTGTCCCAATACTAGATCAGTTAAACATATGGGAATGTCAGCAGCACTATAGTCTGTCTTTTGTCCATCTACTGCTTTTTACTCACTTTTTTTTTCTTTTTTTTTTTTCATTTGGCATAAAGTTATAGGTGAATAAGGAAGAACATGAAAGCAGAGTAATCCCAAGCATTACTCCTTGGAGTTTTGGGGTTTTTATGCAATATAAACTAGCCTGCATGAAACTATTTTGGTACAGCATTACCTTAGGGTCCGGGAGTCCTCAAACAAGTGAGAATGTATCAGAGTGAGGTGAATGAAGGAGGAGGAAATCAATTCATCTGTTATGTACTGAATCTTTTCTGTTTTGAGTCTGCTAGGTGAGGTCAGAATGATACTTGGTCCAATAGGATGTGCTTCTGACTTTCCAAAAGGAACAGGTTCTGTGGTATCATTGCATTTAAGCCATTACAATATATTTCACTGAATGTTCCTACAAGGAAAAGCACAAAGCAAAGTTGCACACAGTGCTATAAAGTTTCTTTTCTATTTTAGTGGGAGTATTTCCAGAAGGTATACTTTTGTATTTACTTATCTATAACCTGCCTTTGTATGTGGTGGGATTTCAGTCTTTTGACCTAAAAGATGCCTGTTTGAATCATGCCTAAATTGAAAATGAGAAAAATGTAGTGCTACCTGATCCTTGTTTGGAAGCGTAGTACATTCAGTTTCTCATGCATAGAATAATTACCAGATTGGCAGTAATTGGTACTCTTGGGCAGACTCAAAACAAAGAGCAGACATTAAGTTGGCATGGAAACGGAACTACCCCTCCTGAGCTTTATTCTATTTTCTCCAAAGTACTGTGACTTATTCATTAGCCACGGTGCTTTGTTCATTCTTGCATGAGTAGCATAGAGTGAGCCTCCAGTGCAGCTGCCCCATGCTGTACCTTGTCCTGTGAAAGAAAAACAGAGAACATTGGTCTCCATTGCTCAGCTTGATGTCTTTTATTATAACTGAATTCAATCAAATTATAAGGAAGAAGTATATGTGTTCTGTTTTGATCTTACTTATTGAGCTTCTTAGACCCTTTTCCCAAATCAAAATCTTACAGCTAATACGAACATTATCAGCTAAGCCTGATTTTGAACAAAAAATGCCTTAATGAACCTTGGATTTCATTTTTTACTATAAATTTGACTTGAAAAAAATACACTTTTTACAAAGCAGTTACTTTAAAAGTTACATTATTTTAATATATTATAAGGCAGAACTGGTTGTACTTTCCCCCTGACATTTATTTATGTCTCTTGACTGCAGTCTCAGCTGTGATGTGAGTACACATATGCTAAGGAAATCTGAGCAAAAGGAATAACTAAAGCAATCAATGCCTGTTCACGTTATAAGCTCTAGATGCTAAGCTGTTTTAAATAATTTACTGGTGTGTTTGAGACTCTTGATATTTAAATAGAAACTGCAGCTTGGAAACTCCATATGTACATAATTTGTTAAATTGTTGAATTCCTTATGAACTTCATTATACTGACCTTCCTTAATGCAAAATTGGGTTAACAAATTTTTTCAGAGTTTCACAGCAGCAGTATTTCAGCAAATCTTTTATGATGTGTTTTTGTTTTCCTTTTTTTAGACACAAAATCAAGGTTAAATTAATTGCAGGACGTTGAGACCACTCTTCCCTGCCTGAGATAAAAAGCTGTGCAGTTCTGTGAGGGCACATGTAGTGAATTATTCAGCTGCTTTTTTTCTCCTTAGATCTTTTGAAGGAATTTTCCCTCAACTTCAGAGTGTTCACTGCCCTAACTCTATAGGTCCTGCACTTACTTTTCTTTGCATTTTTTATGGCGATATGTTATAGTGAGAGGGGACACATTGGGACAGGGAGAAACAGTGATTGGAGCCTGCTGCACTTCATCTGTCCTCACCTGGATAGTACACAGTCCCTTGAGGTCTGCAGCCAGCTGTCACATGTTTGAGCCCCCTCACTCCTGGGCTTTTGCTACAATTGGCTCTGGATGGTCAGGGGCATCTGTCTGGAACAGTTTATTTTATAATAATGACTCATTGTTTTCAAGATGCGTGAGTAGACTCAGACACAGCCCATTTGGTTGCCATGCAATGGAGAACCCAGCAACAATTTTTCTTTCCTTCCTCTTCTCTATTGCAAGCAAACAGGGGGAAGCTGCTGAACATTTGGAGTTGCAAAGGGGAAGCAGCTGCGACAGTTCCATGTTCCCAGAAGAACAGCTCTCTGGGCAGGAGCAGGGTGGCAGATGGAGAGCTGAACCCATATTCCCTTCCCTAGTGAATGAGATGATTCAGACATTTCAATAAAAAAATTGCAAGACATGGTCAGGGAACACATTTTTATAGATGACAAAACAGATTTGCTTAGTTTTAATGCACTCACTTTCAAATGTTATAACTTAGAACAAGAAAGGCCGTAGAAATTACTGTGAACTCACGTCAGAATCACATGAATGTTTAGATCTGCAAGAATAGAATCTGCTTATTTTGTGGCAGCAGTATGAAGCACTGTGGTGTTGGGAACAGAAAAAAAATGCTGAAAATATAAAACATTGAGGGTCAACAGTGCAGAGGAGTAAATGGCTGATGATTGGAAATTATGGTACTGGTACATTTGTACAGGTGAAATAGGTATATGGCACATACAACATCTGATTTTATGCAGAATGTATAACAGAAAAGTAATGATTTGTGGTGAATAAACTGTCCTGATGTAAGGTAATTAGTCACTAGAATGTAATCAGACTCTCCCTTTGCTCTGGGGTTAGTTACCTTAAGACACTGCTTAATTAATGCTTGTGCATTCTTGTAGACAAAATGAATTTATTTTATAAACTGGATAAACAATCAGCTCACAACCATCTGTATTTTGAGCAAAATGAATGGTTTTCCTGGAAGTCTCCTCAAAATCCTCTTTCATCATGTTGTTGTACAACTGATATTTCCAAATATCTGGATTTTTGTAGTTTTCAAGTAGTCTTTTTCTGGATATATTTTCTGGTTTATTGGCACACCCTACTATGTGTCATATTGCTCCATTCCGAGTGCTACTTCAAAATCAATTGTTTTAGTGAAGTATCCCAATAACATGTGCTACATATTCTTGAGGCTTTAAATCTGCTTTATTTCTGGCAAAAGTAAATTTGAAAAACAGCTAAATATCATAATTAAAGGGATTGTCTTTTAATTCTTAAGAGAATGACACAGTTTCTTTGATACTGATATGGTTATTATAACATAATAAATGAGTGTCTCTTGACTGTGCAGTGTTTGACCAGAGTGGAAATGCTTTACTCAAATTTATTAACTTATTTACACTGATTGGGGGAAATTAATTTCACTTGCCTAGTTGTCTATATATTAGCCAGTCAATGTAGGCCCTTATCATAAATCTTTGCAGAGAAACAGTGTTTCTACAGCATGATCCATCCCTTCCCAAGGTAGACAATCATATGGCAGAGATAATCACACTATACAGATGCATGTTCCTTTGTGTTGACCATAATGGTTTGGGGTGACCAGCTCAGATGTGGAAGTTGGGTGACATGAAGAAAGAAACAGTTAGAAACTTTGATAATCTTGTGTAACACTAAGAGAAAACTACGAAGCAAGACTATTTGATACCATTTTGCCCCTCACTTGTGTATGCTTTTGGTGCTGGGAGAGTTCAGAATTCACATGCATGTGTTGATTTTACAGACCGACATGCTAGGATGCCTGAAGGCCTAAGGAAGTGGGATCCTATACTATGATAAAGGAGAATAGCATTTTGAAAACTCAATTTCAATGTAAAAATATTTTGTGATGTTTTTCAGGGTGGAGATCTAGACTTTAAAATTCAAGAGTACAGAGATTCTGGGAAGATATTCACTCAAAGTCAAGTAATAGACTGGTTTATACAGTTGTTACTTGGAGTCAACTATATGCATGAAAGGTACAGTCATTTGATATTTGAGAGCATTTAGCGTGGGAAGGGAGTGAATGGACTAACTGACTAGTTGGAAGTACTCAAACAGAAATGAAAGTTATGTTCATCAAACTGTTGTAGTTAGTACATGTCAGATACCCCAAGTGTAATTAATTATCTATCCTGCAATAATTGTACATTATGTCTTTTAGCAGGAAAATGGTACATGTCTTCCAGTTCTTTTAAGAGCCAAATGGAAAATGGAGCACAGTATAATATAAATAAAATATATATATWTATTTAGATGAAAATTAAAAGGTTTAAAACAAAGTAATCTTTTTACAGGGGAGTCAGCAAGCATGTTGTGCACATTTTTAATGTGAAGCATCCAGTATGCTTGATGCATATGCTTGATGGATTCCCAGCAAAATCAGTGGAGTTACATACAAGCATTCTTTGAAAAGAGACATCACTTTTAACAGCATAGCAAATATTAACTTAAAACAATACTGTAGGTCATCCAGTATGAGGAGATAACTCATGGTTTGAACAGCGGTAGTGTATGTAGATGAATACCTACCTGGTCATCTCTGAGTGTAGCTCTTGCCTTCAGTGTGATTTAGGCAGGCTGACTGCAGTGATGGAAAGATTTCCCTTGCTGCCAGTGTGCTGGACATGTATGATGCCTCTCTGGTATCTGTAGCATCCTTTGCAGGGTTTAGGCAAAATTTGCTTGCCTGAATTTTAGGTGCAAGTGAGCAGTGGGTGGAGAGGTCACCTGTCATCAGGAGCAGCTATTCCTGAATTGAACTGAAGTAAAGTGTGTGGGATACGTTTGACCTAAACTGATGAATGCCTAATGAGTTTTTGCAAGTGTCAGACTGTAGAGGGAAAAGGGCAGAGTGAATTGCTGTCCAAGATGCAAGAGCATTTTTGTTCCTAAATGCCAATTTATCCAGGACTTGTACATGAAATGCTGCCCTGCCAGTGACGGGAGGACACTCTCTTGGGTTACTGTGCTCTCCAGCATTCACCTCAGGCCAGAAGGACAGGGGGAAATGGAAATAAAAATCCTGACAATGTAACTAAACTATCAATGTGGGTTAGTTTTTTTTTTTTCTTTCTTGAACTCCAATGTATCAACTTATCATTAAAAATTTTGATACCAGGAAAGTCCCCTTTGTCAAAATTCTTTCTTTAATATATGTGTTTAGAAGATGCATTTTGCAGAATAATTCAAAATAATAATAACAACACATGACATTTGGATTGATGGTCATTTTAGGCCCCGTACAACTGAACTACTTTATTTTATTCTGAGTGTTATTCTTTTTGTCTTTCATTTTCTGTATTTCCTTAATTCCTCTTTTGTCTCTTGTTTTCCTATGTGTCCATTTTGTCTACTCTCTATTTTACTTATCTTCCACTTGTTCTCAAACAAATCTTTAAAATAAAATAAGATCCTAAAATAAAATTTTTTGGTAAATATGTATATAAAATTTGGTTTCCTGAAAAGTCAGTTAATTCTCCAGTTAAAGCAATTTGATTTTCCAAACAGCATTTCATTTGCTCCTTTTCAGTCATAGCTAATAATACCTCTCCAGACACTTACAAATAATTTGACAGTTTTAATTTATATATATTTGTATTTTGTGTTATTTGGCTCTATGTACATTACAAAATATAATCTTTTTCTTATTAGTATAAAGTCGAACAGTAGTTTAAATGGAAAAAATTAGGCTTAAAAGAATTTAAAACTACCTACAGAAATTTAAAAACATAATAACAGCCTTCTGTTTTGGTGTAGAGGAATAATGAATGATTTCTCTACTGATATGGAAAAAAGGCTGTAATATATTTAATTTATGTTCTGAAGCAAAGAAAACTTTTCCCTAGAGTGAGAAGTTTGAAGTGTTTACAGCCTGTGGGTTGGTCCTTTCCCATGCCATTCCTAAGAAAACCCACCGTTTTGGATGGGACCTTTTATTCCAGAGAAGCAACAATTGTTATTTATAGTTTTAAACATGAAATAGTCACTTTGTTGCACTTCTTGCATAACTTTAGTTGAACTTCCACACTTTTTGAGAACTCTTATGCTGGAAGCTTATTGTTTATTTTTTAAATTGGAAACTTGAAATTAAAATTACCTAGAAATAAACAGATTCAATCCTTATCTGTCTTTGATATTAACAAAGGGAGAAATAAAAGAGAGAGAACATAGTTCAGTGGATGGAGATCTATAGCATGAAACCATCCTGTAGTCTCTCATTATACACGTAGCCCATCACATGCCAGTGCAAAAAATTAATCCCACAGCAACTGGGCAATGAGGCCATTGATTAATTTAASCTCAATTTGAATAAGGCTGATCATTATGTTACCCATCGTTTTGGTAATCTTTATGAAGAATTTATGAACACAGATTTTTATAAGGTTATTCTTTATGCAAACAGTAGATAATACAGGATTCAGACATACACAGAACCTCTTACTCCTCTATAGAGATCTGACAGAGGAAAGAGAAATTAATTCCTGATGATTTCACAGCAGTAAAATACTTCAGCTTCCTTCAGCTTCACTTGCAGTTGGTTCTGTTGCAGCAAAGCTTCATTCCAGGAGAYTGCCCACTCCTCAGGGCTTGTGCTGTTCTTTTATGACAATGACAATGAGACAGCAAGCAGGTACTCTATAGAACATAGATATGGATATGTTTACAGCCCAAATTTGAAGCACTCTTCAAGTATTAATTTCTACCCAAAATAACCACTCATTAGTCACTTCACTGTCCATCAAGTAAAGTTTGCTGGGGATCAGTTAATTCATGTTGTTTTTATAGGTCAATCTTTTCCTACAATAACAAAGTTGCTCTCTTTTTTTAACTGGATTTACAGTGCAGGCTTGACATTAATTTTATACTAGCACTAAAGTATTCTTTTCAGTTAAGGTTTCAGCTTGTACTTTGCTTATCTTCTGACATATCATGGCAGAATAAGGTGCATTACTGTGACTTGTAATGCACCTTATTCTGCTCCAAAAAATCAACCCAAATATTTATTTCTTGTATTAATATATGAAAACAGTTTATACTTACTGGTAATGCAAATAAAGTGCATAACATTTTCTTTGATATGTTGCAAGATTAGCATTATATTGTAATTCAAACTAATGTGACCCAAACACCTTCTTTTAATCTCATTTTCAAATAATATGCTACTGAAAGCTTTCTGGATCATTTTTATATTTCAAATCACCTGTTACTAAAATAAAAGATATTCAGGAAACTTTTAGGTTCAAAAGTTCTGTTGTTATATTCCTAAAAAAGACTACTATTAAAAGAAGGTTAAAACCTACTAATGCTCAGCAACAATGCACAAAGAAAATTTAACTCAGTGCAAGCAAGTTATTTCAAAGCATCTGTGTGATCAATGATAAGGAAAGCCCTTTCTGAATCTAAATAAAAACAGCAAGATGTCTATAAAACTATGTGTCTATTTATATATACATATACATACTTACAAAAGAATAACAAATATCAGTTTAATTTCCTTACTGATGTAATGTGTGAGGAGTATATGTGTATTGCTCATGGAAGTAGTCAAATAGAGAACAAATTATTGATAGTAATTTATAAACATGGGTGGAGGCATACTGAATAAAACTTTCATTTTTCTGAATGTGCAAACCTTTTTCTACAGGTATTACTTTCAGAACAAAAAAAAATTGAAAGGAAACAAAAGTGAAATAATTCCTGTAAGAAACATAAAGAACTCTTTTCATTGACCCATAAAACCAGAAACGTTTCTTTTTATTGCCCAGTCTGTGTACATGCTGCAATGAATTCTAGTATTATTTTCATTTTTTCCCCATTTGTGAACTGAGTATATAGAATTTAATATTTTTTTCTCTTCTTGCAAAAATTATTTTCAAATGAGTTGTGGATTAAATTGTGTGTTTAAATTGTGCTGTAAAATGCATATTTTCTGATCTTAATATAAAAACTATTTTGGAAATAATTTCATTATATCAGCGTGTAAGACACTCATTAAAATTTGAGATAATAAATGAAAATTGCTAAAAAAATTAAAATCAATTATTATATTTGTTCTTCTTGTCCACATCTCAAGAATCCTAAAGCATCAGTTTCTTTCTTTACATGTTTTAAATGGCTGAATGACTAGTGTATTTGTATTAACAAATACCGTTTCTGTAGCCAAACACAATTCTAACCTCCTCCTGAGCAGAGCTGATGACTAATCCTGTGTGTTAGCAATAATTTCAAAAGTGGATGAATTCTAATTTAGTTGAGGTTATAGGGAACAATGCTCTTGGATACGTTATTAGCAAGAATTAATTGAGAATATGTTGTGTATACTGCAGGGATATTTTTTTCCTAAGGGGCTGCAAAATTACTGTCACACATGTAAGATTTATAGAAGTTAAGAAGATTCTGTATATTCTCACATCGTGTGTAGCTTATGATGTTATTTCAAACTTTGATGGAAAAATAAGTCTGTAAAAGCTAATTGTTCTTTTTATTTTCCTTTTTATCTTTGTAAAAAGTTCTTTCAAGTTCCACACTGTCACTGTAAAAAATTGAACTACTAGCTTAGGCTATATAGATATTTGTCTTTGAAGTAATACTTTTGCTCTGAAGGAGTGTTTCTTAGCTTTGAGGAGCTCTAATTGCTGTTTTTCTCATCCCTTATTCTCTTGTGAGACATCTTATTCTCCGGGCAGAAAATAAGATGTAATGCTTTTCACTCGAGTCAGATAGGCAGACTTGCCTTTYTCCCTTCCTCTGCAGCTCATACTATGTCTGTATCTGTATTTTTTAGCTGGGATCTCCAGGTACATTTTTATTATCCTATTTCAGCTCTCACCCTGTGGGTGCCTGTGAATGCACCTCTGTGTGCATGTGAAGTTCCTTAATGCCATCATCCGTGCATTGTCACTTGCAGAGTTGTAGCAGTGCTGGGCTGGCCTTTCTGGAAAGGGCTGAAGTTAATACCTGAAATACTTAATCTGTGACTCTGAATGCTTCCAGTTGGATGAGGCTGAATTTCCTTTTCTATTCCAGATGGATACTTCACAGGGATTTGAAAGCCAAGAATATATTTTTGAAAGATAATCTTCTTAAAATTGGTGAGATTTCCATACTAATAAAAGATATATTTTCCTGGGATAGAACAGTTCAGTAGACATTTTGTCAATAAAGAGATTTAAAGAAAATCATGTCTGAAATAGCCGTTTGATTTGTGGTCAAGCATTTATTTGACAACCAGACACAAGAGAGGCATTGAAATCTCTAGCCTTGAGGATGCTTCAGGCTTGGCTGGGCCTGGACCTGAGCAGTCTCATGAAAGTTGCTTTGAGCCAGGGATTTGAATCAGATGACCTTGTAAGGCCTCTTCAAACCCACATTTTTCTGTGATGTTATGCATTTGAGGTGTTTTTATTTTTAAGAATTGTTTTTCCCATTATTTCAAATACTGGCAAGATTTTCTGTATGTGCAGTCATTTTATCATGCCTAACAATAAACAAAAAAAGTTTCTGTGAATAGATATACATTTAAATTAATAGATTATTGTTTCTACTGATATTTTTAGGAGACTTTGGAGTTTCTTGTCTTTTGATGGGTTCATGTGATCTTGCAACTACTTTTACTGGGACACCATATTACATGAGTCCAGAAGTACTGAAGCACCAGGGATATAACACAAAATCTGACATTTGGTGAGTAGTCAGAATACTGTTTAGGTTGGGTTAGGCATTTATTTTCACTAAAACTGTTTCAGTACATTTGAATCAAATTTTGCAATCTGAAGCCTTGCCCTTTGCATTAAGAAGCCTGTAGTTGGCTTTTATTCTGGGTTATCTGAGACTTTAAAGGAGTGTAGGATTCAGGTTCAGTCTATGATATGATACAGGATGATTGTAGACAAAGTTCAGGTTTTTCTAGAAAGGGGAAAATCTCTTTTTTTCTGGTATTGAGATAGATGAATTGAAAGAGGCAACTTCCTGTGAAACTTTAGGTGGATGACCAAAGAGTGATTCTAGCTGAGAGGACAGCARAAGGACCTTATTAGGAACTGAATTTAAAACCACTGACAAATGTTAAAAGCAAGAAAGTATTTGGAAGTGGAGTTGAAGATGAGAATAACGGTGGTGTTAGAACAGAAATAAAAAGGTTTTCTGTTTTAGAAGAGACTCAAAGGTAGAAAGAAAAGTGTCAGTTCTGTATTTGGCACAAATTCTGGAGATGAGGACTTCAGAGATGATGATTAAAGAGTCAAGTATAGGAGCTGAGATCTGTTGAAGGACTTTTAGGTGTGCAAGTCAAGATGAAAAATGTTGTTTTTGGATGGGGAAAATATCTGGCTTGTTTATATCTCATGTTTTAAGATACAGTTAAAATGTTATCTTTTAAATGTTGCCTTAGTATTTTATTTAAGGGTATTTGTTTCTTTTATGAGGTGTCTTTTTTTTTGTTTTGTTTTGTTTTTTCTGTGGGTATATATATCAGAAGATGTATTTTTAATAAATATTTCAAATCAGGAAAATTCTTTATAAAACATTTGGCCACTGGAATATAGCTTGATTTCTTTATAATTTACTCTAGCTTCATCTCAGTTCTGCCTTTTCAAAATATACTGGTGACTGCAGGATATAATTCTAGAAGTGGAGAACAGTCATCTGCATTTTCAAATGGTAGCAGCCATTTTTCACAGTTGACATATTCAGTCCAGTCAACGGATATGTCAGGAATCTCACCTCATGGTCTGTGTAGCTGACTGCTATGGATTTCATGTCAGGTTCTCTCTTGTTCATCTGTAGCAAATATCAGTTAATACACGTAGTCAATAAAAATTTATTGGGAGAAGATTTCAAAGGATGTCAAAAGAAATAAATAGACAGGGAAACCTGCCTACTGTGGTCTTCTACTGTAAGGAATAATTTCTTTTGTAGAATGGAAATAGAAAGTAAAAGACATGTTTAAGTTCTGTTTGTGGTTACTAGTGTCAATCCATATTGGTCATTGAGGCTGTACAGTGTAAATGCAAGCAGAGTTTGATCCTATATTTTTATAAATGATGTGTTGAACACCCTTTAAAAATTTACAAAAACACAGAATAAAGCCCCCCATCCCAAACTCAGTAGCTACCAGCTTTCTGCTATACTTTCTGTCTTTTGTAATCTTTCCAAAGTGTTACCAAGAGCACTCATCTGAGGGTGAAACTGCTTTCAGTAGGAGCTTCTTGGCCCTCACTTTAGGGGCACCAAGGAAGTGGTGTGCCCTGACTCAGCAGTTCCCCAGTCCACAAACTACTTCTTTTTTGGAGCCAGGAAAACCTTTTGATCAGGACTTATGTGTTTGATTGATACTCTAGTCATTTCATCTTTTAATCTTTTAGTAATGATTTTATTTGATTTTTTTTCACTGTCCCCATTTAACAGGGGCCAAAAGACAAGAGGACACTGATATACAGGGAAGCCCCCCATGGAGGCTCTAGGTGAGATTAAGTCCTTGGGCCACTGTACAGGAGATTTAGTTGCTCATGAAGAATCAAAGACTCATAGAATGGTTTGGGTTGGAAGGGTCCTTAAAGCTCATTTAGTTCCAACTCCCTTGCCATGGGCAGGGGCACCTTCCACTAGATAAGGTTGCTCAACGCCTCGTGCAGCCTGGCCTTGACCTCTCTCTCAGTTTGAAGCTGAGACATGAACCCTTGTCCTGTCATTACATGCCTTTGTAAAAAGTCCCTCTCTGGCCTTCCTGGAGGCTTTTCTTCTCCAGACTGAACAACCCAACCTCTCAGCCTGTCTTCATGGAAGGGGTGTTCCCTCAAATCATCTTTGTGTACCTCTTCTAGACTTGCTTCGACCGGTCTGCATCCTTCTCATCTTGAGGGCCAGAGCTGGATGCAGTACTCCATGTGGGGTCTCAGTAGAGTGGGGTACAGGAAAGAATCGCCATCCTCAGCCAACTAGTCATGCTGCTTCTGATGCAGCCCAGGATATGGTTGGTTTTCTGGGCTGTCAACACCTGTTGCCATGTCATGTTGAGCTTTTCATCAAGCAACATCCCCCAGCTCCTCCTCAGGCTTACTTGCAATCCATTCTCTGCCCAGTCTGTATTTGTGACCTAAGTGCAAGACCTTGCAATTTGCCTTGTTGTGCTCTGTAACTTTGCGACGGGCCCACCTCTCAAGTCTGCCAAGGTCCCTCTGGATGAAATCCCCTCTTCCAGCATGTCACCCATACCACACAGCTTGTTGTCAGCAAACTTGCTGASGGTACGCTCAGTCCCTCTGTCCATGTTACTGACAGAGATGTTAAACAGCAGTGTCTGTTTACCCCTGTGGAATTTCAAGTAGTTGCCCAAGTCTTTTATATGTGGCTGAAGTGACATTCTCTCTTCAGACTTGTTCTTGTCTCTAGCAGGGACTCAAAAATTCACGCACAAAAACTCAGACTTACAAGTGTTCCCATGGTAAACGTAAAATAATGTAAAATATCTTCTGGAAAAGACAATTAATGTTATCTCACCTTGTTATCAGGGTGCTCTCACTGTTCAGTCCAGTTATTCATTGTTCATTGGAAAGACCTTAATTTATGCTGCATTAATGATGTGCTCTAAAGAGACATTGTGCTTTTCAGGTTCACTGAAATGCTCTGCAGCTGGCTTTTCAAAACTGGCTTGAATATTCACAGTGCAGCAGCTGGTGCAAGAAGTTTCATCCTTTATAGCTCAAGGTGAATAGATGGGAAAAAGCTTCATGTTCTACAGTTTTTCCCTATGGARGTTCTGTGGTTGGGCTCAGAGAAGGGGCAGCATTTATGTTTTTCTTCAGCTGAAATATCAGCGCTGGAGTTCTTTGCTATTCCATGCTTTATGTCAAATCTAAATTCCCAGGAGGCAAATTAAAATTGGCTCACACGTTTYCCTCAGSATCCCTGAGCCTGGACTGGCCAGGCCATGCGAGAAAACCTTAGCAGATAACAGTACAGGGTTTCCTCTTTTCCGGACAATAAACTTCTTCAGGGAGCTGATCCCAGTTCATTGGTTCACCACCCCCTTCTGCCATCAGTGCTTCCCCCTACGGATGCAGCAGATGGAGAAGAGTCAGAGCAGCGCTGGCAGCTGAGCTGAGACAGAGGGAGCCCAAGAGGCCAGGCTGGCTCAGGGGTCAGTCAGTGATGTGTGTGTGTGTGCAGTTGGTAATTGAGGTTCACTGGTGGCCCAGAACAGCGTGACCCCAAGGTGCTGCTGTGCCAGTGTCCTGGTGTCCCTTCCTGCCCTTACACACTCCATGGTGACACTGATGTATTTGAGGCTCAGCTGGCATTCCCATTCCTCTAGCGCTGTGGCACTGCATTCATGTGTCAAGAAAACTGAAGGAAACAGTTACCAGCAATAACATTTCTCTCTACTTTTCAAAGGTATGATCTTATAAGGCAAATTTCATCCAGGAACTTTTGAATAGGTTTGTGCATATTGTATGTTACAATCTAAGAAACAAAAATTATAACAGAAATAATAGTAGTATTTCTTAGTAGTAAGTATTTCTTATTCCTTTAGAGACTTAAAAATTCTTCATAGGAGAGGTATAAATAACTGTCTTTGTCTTTCAGAGACAAAACAATGTCACAATCACATGTAAATCCATTGTACTCTTGTCTTCCATCAAGTACTGTCAGATTTTGACAGAGGGTTTGTCTGTTGTATTTGGGTAAATTGGGTTATCCACACCACAGGTCTTGAGCCTTTCATTTTATTGTTCTTGCTTCTCTGTGCTTTTTCTCCACTTTTTCTCCACTCTGATCATATCAGAAGGTATTAAGAATTTGTTGGCTTCAGATTCTGTGAGGAATATGTCTACAAATTTAATTTCGTAAATATTCAGTCATCAGCCCTTGAATGAGACCTCTCTACTCCTGTCTTCCCCAGTCCCTCAGCCTCAACATTTCTCCATTTTTTGGTTGTTAATATTAAAGAAAATGATGATCAGACTAAGAGATATAAGCCATAAAGGTATATGTGTTTGCATTATCTGAGTTTGGGGCTTGAATTTAAAATCTAACTTGGATCTTACAACCTTTGAAGAATTGTAACACTTTTTCCAAAAGGTCAGAAGATCTTAAAAGTATAACAGTGTTTATGTAAGCAATACCAAAAACTTCAGGGTGGTTTGTCCTAAGAAGTTAGAGGTCTGTCAGTTGAGATTGGGGAGAACACACTGAAGCCTGTCCAGATGCTCCATTTTATGATGTAATTGAGCCTAAGTAGCTTCAATGTGAGCTGGTCATGCCACAATTTTGCTGAAATTATGTGCTCTTTGGGAACTTTGTCAAACCTATTCATGAATATAGGGAGTTGTCAAACCAAATGTTCTGGCTGTACAGTTTAATGGCCATTTTAGGATTTTATAACATTGGCACTTATGCAGGCCAAGATTATAAAAGTAATTAAATTGTATGTTTGGATCATGTGCAGATTACTTATGGGAATTGGGGAGCAATTTCCTCCTGCTCCTTACAAGATGCTTAGACCAGAAATGTAGAATGCAACTGAGAAATGCTGTTTTGAGCCAAAAGTTTGTCTGTTACTCCCTTGGGTTTGCAGC